TTAATTGCACCTTTTTACAACAAAATGTATTATTATTATTATTATTTTCTTGCAACCCACAAAATTATGGATGCATATGCTAGTACACTGTCAAGCTATTGAAAAAGCCACACGGTGAACAATTTAGCAGTGCTTTTGACAGCCAACTGCTTGTTAATATACAGATTAGCCATGGCCAAATGACTTCTTGTTGATTTAAGATTTAAACAGAACACTGATGAACACACACAATAGACGGATCACCATATCCTCCAAAAACATAACAACAACTTCCCTGGAGACAAATTTAACATGTGTGTTGTGAAAAGTGAAACTTGAATGCAAACACAAAAAGATCACACGTTAAAAATTAAGCTGGTATTGCTGCATATATAATTTAAAGGATGCCAAGAAAGCAACCTGCTCCTAACAAGATCCGAACTTCACATAACAAGATCACACACGCAAGGATATTTTGTGCAACAAACTATACACAAAACACACACACGAGCAAGAAGAGAATCACGAGAGTCGAGCCTAGCTGCCGCTAAAAGAAGGGCCCTCGATGATCTGAACACAATCACTAGAATCACTGGAAGCAGAATCATCAGGTTTACTTTCGGCTAGAGAAAAAGCATCGAGACTCTTGGAGAAGGATTCTATGTCTTCAACATTGAACCAGTCTTTCTTCATCTGCAGTACAATAAGGAATCCAAATACAAATATGCAAAACACTTTGTCAGATTACATCTAGAGAGCATCTCAGTTTTTCTTTGAATTTTTTTGGGATTTTTTAGTTCTTTGGTTCTCTCCTTGAGATTTTTCAGCTGCTTATTTTTTTTTCATTTGTTAGGATTCCTTAGTTAGTTTCTTTAGTAAGTTTAGTTCTATTTNTAGCACGTATGGTGAAGGTTTATTATTAGGGCAACCTTGGGAATCAAGAGAGGCATTTTCTTAAGCTGTTTTTCAGTCTCCAGCCTTTTCTCTGATGTATACATGTCAAAGAGAAGCCTGAAGAACACGCAATACAAAAGAAAAACGTTAACAATAGCAGGTTAGGAAAAGAAAAAAAAAAAAGAAAAAAGGTAAATGAATTAATCTTGCTTGAAAACTATTGATACCTTCTTATTAACGGTTCAAGCCTCGTTGGACCTATTGCATGCAACGAATCCAACAGCAGCATGCAAGGAGCATTGACTTTTGAGCGAACGAGAGTCTCACCCAAGTTGCAGAATATCAACAGGCTCCAGTGTGACCTATCAAAGGAACATCTTAATACAGAGTTTTCGAAAAACAATTAAGTGTATTCAATTCAATTGCATGATCAATGGCTTACATGAGACACTTACCACACGACTATCGGTACGAAAACATACTTCTTTGAAAATACGCCCTTCTCCTTGATGCAATTCAGAATCTTCCCTCTGTTTTCCTCATGGGAATATAATTCAAACCATGAGGGATCGAAGAACGTAACTGGCTCTAATTTCTCTTTGGGAAAAGAAGTCCATATATGCCTACAATCAATCGAAAGATTTATTCTTGTAAGATTATAGCTGTGTTGTTTGGCTACTATTATAAATGAGGCACACTCCTGTCACAAGATCCCCTAACACTAATTAGTAGAACTTAAAATAGTTCAAAATATTACCAAGAAGAAAGAAAAAAAAAAAAAGAAACTATAAC